CCCCAAAACCCCAAAACCCCAAAACCCCAAAACCCCGGGATTGGGAAATAAAATAGAATAAAATTAAGATGGGTGAGATATGGGTGGGAAGGGAGGGGAAATTAGGGAAGGAGAGGGGGTGTTAGTAATCACATGTTGTGTAAAGATTATATTGTTGTTATCTGGATTAATCACAATAGGTTTGTAGTATTTTTGTTAGTCTTCCTCGAAGTTTTCAATCAGGTTATCTAAATTTATACAGAGTCTATAATTGATCCACTAAAAGTAAGGTCTTTCGGAGTGAAGAGACCTGTTAAAGAGAAGCTGCATCGCCTTTTAGAGCAAGAGAGAGGAGACAAGAGGTATTATCCCAAATAACATCAATGGTGATATTGACGAATGGGCTGCAATAGTCAGGTAAGCATACAGATTGGACTGCTTTTTGATGGAGCAAATAGGTTACAAGCTGAAATGCATAAGAAATCAGAAGCACAAAAAAACTTTATAAAGAAAAAGGTCCAGAATGAGTATGGTAGTGAGCTACAAAGAGCCCAGGAATTGAAATAACCAAGATAGAAGAGTTGAGTTAGATAATATTAGCAATGAGAGAGTCAAGCTTAACAAGGAATGGCACAAAAATAACACTTTGTATAATCAAGTGCAACGGGAGGGAACAGATGCTCTCAGAAAATTACTAAATAGTAGTCACGAGGAGCAGATTAGCTCAAAGAGAGAGAATACTCGAATTGAAAGAGACTTAAAGCTTAAATAATGATATTAAGCTTATTAAGAGCAATAGGAAATACCTCGATATTGAAAATAAAATGAACATGCTAAAGCGCAAAGAGTATACTAGAGACAGAGTTGAAGATATTCAAAGTAAATTTACACAACTTATTACAAAATTTACTTCAAGTTAGAATCATTTTTCGACACTTTATTCACTGCTGAGCCTAACCTTTTCTATCTTTGATACTACTAACTTTTCCGAATAAATGATTACTCTAAATTTGTAAAAATTTTCTCTAAATAAATAATAAATAAATTCCTTTCACAGAATAAACAGCAAAAAATCAAGCAGCTAGAACTCATTAACCAAAAATAACACCGAAGAAAGCCTGAGATTTATGAAGGACTACACACAAAGAGAAATCCAAAGAGAAAATGATTACAAGCACAAATTCTCTGTGAAGAACAATAGAATTCAGCAGAACATGGATCGATATGTTGAAGGAACTCGCAAACAACAGCAAAGACAGCTTAGTGAGGAACTCAAACTGGAAAACTCAAGACAAATGTATAATAAATAAACTTGAAAATGATTTTTACCACCAGCAGTCTCTTCGGAATCACAAGCAGTCCCAAGCTTATGAAACCTTATGCGCACAAGTGAAGGATAGGAACCTAAAGAACCAGTTTACAGAATATGTAAATGATATGGAGCGCCAAAATATCAGACAGAAGACCATTGAATGTAATAATATTCAGAAATCTATCCATAATTCAACAAAGAAGCGACAAATGATGTATAAAGAAATGCTCAAGGATCAGATAGAAGCCAAGAAAAAGCTTAGAACAAATGGAAACATGACTGCTGTTGAGAAGCAGATGAATAGAGCAGAGCTTAAGGCTTACAAGAACTACGATAACCAGTTGTACTCCTTTATTCCAGGAATCAATCATGATAAATTTATTGATAAAGGAAAATTTTACAAAAAGAAATCAAGCATGGCTAGCGAAGGAGAACAAAACCGAAGACTTCAAGAACTTGGATGTGGAAGAAGTTTTAATTTACATAAAAATAGAGAAAAACATAATTTTAGTGCTTCTATTCTGCCTATGAATGAGCCATACAATGGAACACCTTTGTTTATCAACGATAATGTAAACTTTACCATTGATAACTCAACTAAACCTAAGCCTAAACTTAGAATCCCAAGTGTTGAGAATAGCCCATATAAGGCAAAACACAGTAAGCTGCCATTTTAATTTTAGCTCAAAATTTAAGTATGAATGGTGGATCAGTAATTCCAACAGGATTAGATCATAGTATGAAACTCCAGAGTTTAAACAATCAAAACTCTCACCGAAGAGGGTTGAATAATCCTCTATATTCTTCCTTTGATGCAAACATCCCATTCTTCTAAAATTTATGTAGTTGATTATTTTCAACTATCCTTTCAGAATAGGGGTTTTGGGGTTTTGGGGTTTTGGGG